TATTTTGCTCTTTAAATAATGGATTTTTAATACTTTACAATCAAATGTTATTATACGAAATACCTGAACAAGCTTAGAAAAACTCCACAATTAATCTAAACATGTTTAAAATCATACTTTTGTTTCCTTGGTCCCTAAAGAAGAGAAGCTTACTATGTCATTTTATCTTAGCCAAATAAAGTGGAAAACATTAATTTTATTAAATGGGAAAGAAATGGATTTTGTTGGAAGAAATCCAGAGTCTTTAAAAAATGCTTTGATAACAGGCTGAATTTTGCAATCTTTTGATCTTTGCAAATATTCACACACAATGATAATCTAACTCAATGACTGGATTTTAAACTAGCCTTGTTAGCCTATGTATTCTGGCTATGTATTCTGAATGTCTGCAAGCTATCATGTTTGGGAAAAGCTCTCTTAAATTGATGAAACAAATTATTGAAAGCAAATACAGCATCTTGGTTCCATTTGAAACCTTCCTCTACTGTTTCCAAAAGCCAATTGTGGGTAGAGATTTCTCTTATTTATCCATGAGAAGCATCTGGGTAATAAACACACATATGGATAAACTAATCTTCAATATTAATTTTACTTAGTGGAATATGATTTTGTGTTCCTATTGGAGACTAATGTACATATTTACAAAGATTCTTGAACAGGGTCTGAAGCAGGGTTGAAATCCACTTACCTTTGCTACCGGTTCGGTAGCAATGTGAGCCTGCGCATGTGCAGTACCTCCCACGCACGCGCAGAGCGTCAAAAAGATAAGGTAAGCAAACAGCGAGGTGGGGGGGGAATCTGCTATGCCGCGCAATATAAATCACATGGCGCAGCTGATCATCAGAAAAACTGGTTCACCTGAACAGTTAGCATTTTTTTTACTACTGGTTTGGACGAACCAGTAGCATTTTTACTACCGGTTCGGGCGAACTGGTCCAAACCGGTAGCATTTCACCCATGGACTGAAGCATCAGCTTGACTTCTGAATCATTAAAGGATAATGGATATGTCTATGGAGATCCTCAATCATCCAGGTCATAATTGTCCCAACGATACTTTTTCTTTTTTTTTTCTTTTTAAAGGTTTTTTTGTAAGTAAACATGTTGGACATAGTGCGACATTTCTGGTGTAGTCATTTCCATAGAGTTTTTTGATCTTACAACAATAACAATTTATATCCATTACATAAGTATGTGTAATCAGTCAAATTACCTACCCATTAATCCCTTTTACTATATAGTTACTATCAGTACATATCAGTGGTGGGTTCCGGATCCCGTTGCAACCAATACAGTGCAACAGGGCCTCGCATCCACATGAACACGCGCAACACGCGCATGCATACCTACTGCCCGCGATGCTCCACGCCTTCACAATGCTCCAGCTTCTCGGTGGAGCATCGTACAGGCGCCGTACACTCCATGCGCATGGGTGGCTCCATGAGCGTGGGTTCCTTACCTACAAGTAAGGAACGTGTGCGTGTGGGTGAGCCCTCTGGAGCACCGTACCAGAACAGTACCTGGTGATCTTATACCAGGGCGCACTGGTTGTAACCCACCACTGATACATATACATATCCAATTCCTACCTCTTGTCTAATATTAATACCGTATTTTCCAATTCTTAACTTATCCATGTTTTTCTGTCCCAGCTTTTTCCCCTCATTTCTAACCATTGGTACCATTTGTCCCAGATTTCGTGGCATTCCGTCTCACCCTTGTTTTTGAGCTCTGGAGTCAGCCTGTCCATTTCTGCGCACGTCGGTATCTTCTTTGTTATTTCTTGTTCCAAGGGGAAATCTCCTTGTTTTTCCAGTTCCGTGCAAAGACCCAAAGGAGCTTTTTCAAAAGGCAACTGGCCTCTGTTTTTCCTAAGGCAGAACAAAGTCCACTTGCCTTTTCAAAAAGCACCTTTGGGTTAATATTTGTAGCTCAGGGATGAAATGAGGGATTCTGGGTGGTCTCTGAGTTTAGGACTAACACTAGAATCAGTGCTTCTCAACCTTGGCCCACCTGAAGATGCGTGGACTTCCAACTCCCAGAATTCCCCACCCAGGTTGAGAAACACTGCACTAGATGGTGTTTAACTAGTTTGGGTAATGAAATGCCTGCAGTGCTTAGGACTAACACTAATAAATCTACCTAGTTTGGGTAATGAAATGTTGGCAAGCAAACAACCTGGGAGCACCTGGGACCTCTGACATCTGTAGCAAATGCCAAGGAGAACCGGAGTTCTGAATCTCCATGTCATAAGCGTAGCAGTTTAGAAGCCTGAACCTGAGCAACAGAAAACAGGAACATACAAGAAACAGCACCACCTTAAGGGGTAAATCTGAAGAACAGACCCTATTAAACTTCTGTTTGGAGAATTGTCCGTCATTCGGAAGATATGGAAGAAGTCACTTTATAGCCACACTCTTGATCTTGTTTGCAACAATCTATGATATATGTTTATATTTCTACGCTGGTTGGAAGCTGGGAAGTCACCCCTAGGAATTAGTGGCTTTGCAGATTTTAAACTCTTAACTTTCCAAGCCCAACCGGAAGTCGCTCCAACTATGTCATCTTCCAATGTTAATCTTCCTTCATACAGTAATATCTCTATCCAGGTATGGGATTCTACCAGTTTGGATCGGTTCAGGCGAACCAGTAGCTCCGACAATCAGCTGGGAGCAAATCGGTTTGCTCCGATGATCAGCTGGGCCCACCCACCCACCCCTGTGCTATACTTATATTCCCTTTTCTTTTTTTCAGTTAAGGTTTTTTTATTTTATTTTCATACATGTAACCACAGGTATAACATTACATAGCCAGCACTGTTTTGTGTTGTCCAATATTATATCAGTTCATCATCAACACACAACAATTATCATTTGCTCTTCTGCTTTTTGTACACCATATTATACCCCATCCACCGCCATCCTGCTTCCTCTCCCTCTCTCCTTCTCCCTACCTCCTTCCTTCCCTCTGCCATCCCTCTCTTCCCTACTTCCCCTTCCTCTCTCTTTCTTCTGTCTCCTCTTTCCACTCCTTCTCTCTCTCCTACTCTTTTCCTCCCTTCTTCTCCCTCTCTTCCTCCTCTCCTCTCCTTTTCTCTCTTTCACTCTCTCCACTTAGCTTGCATGGTGTATTTCAGCATCTGAGCAAACTTCATTTAATATTGATGATGATGATAATTACATTCCAATAAACATCTTTCATATTGATAATTTTAACATGCATCCTCCTTTTAAAGGTATACATATATAGCAATTCCATTGTTATTGCCCCCTCCCCGAAAACATATTTTTTGGCCAAAGTGTAGGCCGGGTTCAGGTTTCAAGTTATTCTCATAATAATATTACATACTTACACATCATTACATGCCCCAGATTTTTAAATATCTTCTTGTGGTCTCAGTTATTGCCGTGCCTCAGCTGTTTTGCACCGGGGCTACAGTAGAAGGTAAGTTTTCAAACCAACTGCGTTTTAAAAGTTACATGATCAAAATTCAGGCATTTGGCAAATCAGCAATGCTTTTATAACCACTGCTGCATCTCCAGGATCATATAATCAATATTTGCAACCTTTCCAGCTGGTTTCTGACAAGCAAAGTCAATAGGGGAAGGCAGGTTCGCTTAATGACCATGTGATTCACTTAACAATTGCAGTGATTTGCTTAATAACTGTGGCAAAAAAAATGTAAAATTGGACGCAACTCATTTAACAACCGCCTTGCTTAGCAATTGAAATTCTGGTCTTCGTGATAGTCATACGTTGAGGACTAACTGCACTTGCTACCTAGAGGGAAGATGTACTAAGTCCGATCCAGAAATAGCCTGCAGCTATCATAATTAGTAGTCATTATAAACTTCAGGGAAACATTGCTTAATCCATACCACAGCCATTAAGGTCAGACCACTGGATACTACTCAAGGATTGAATAGACCAGAAAGTTCCCAAATTCAATATCACGTCAGCTTTTATATATACTTGTTGATAAAATTGCAAGATGTAGGAGAAGAACAGGCTGTGCTTGTTGGTGGTGGTGGAGTTAAACATGCCATGAGCTTAGAATTGTTACATCCCACAATGATCCAATTCCAACCCCTCTTAAATTCTACTGACCCTTATCTGGAGCCAATTTAGTACTGAACTTTAGTTGACTGGAGCCTTTTGTATAGGCTTGAGCAGTAAATTTACTGAACCACAATTTAATGTATAGTCCTGATCTTTTGTACAGAAAAGAGGAGGAGGAAGAGGAGGAGGAGGAGGAGGGAGGGAGGGAGGGAGGAAGGAAGGAAGGAATAGAAATTGAAGAGCAAAGTTCCAAGATTGTTTGCAAGAGTCAGCACAGTTTCTTGCATAGGTTGTCCCCAATCGCAGCAGAGTGATGCTGTTCCACCTCAACCATTTCGAACACGGACACAAAATGTACATTTCTACAGGTGACAAGACCAGGTTCCCATCCATTATATCAAGAGGCTCAAATTCAGAATACAAACTATTGAACATCTGTTTTGCTTTCCTCCTACCTCTTGTCAGTGTATGAGAATTCATGACTTGGGAGAGACATGATAACAAGGTCAGTCAATGAAGAGACATGGCAATTAGATCAGTCAATGAGGGCTGATTGGAAACTGAAACAGTATTTGGTGTGTGAGCAACAAGGAGACAGCAAGGAGCCTGGGCGAGTCTCAGCTGCTCTGTACTATAGCTCTGAGTCTGTGCTGAGCTCTAAACTAGTCTGCTGCTCCAAACTGAAACTGTTCTCTCCTCTGCCTGTGTTTTGCTTGTCTTTACTACCATGTTGGAAAACCTGCTTTTGGTATTGTATATTTACTTCATGTATTATATTATATATATAAAGAGAAGTTAATGAATCCTGCTGAATCAGTTACCTGAGTGTGCTTTCTGGATGTGATTGCTGCAACAAACTCTGACACCTCTATCTTATTTTCATACAGCAGGCAAAGGAACCAGAGCAAAGCTCTTATGGGAAAAACAGGATCAATGACTTACTTTTTCTTGATCTGGAGAAGAACTTGATTCCTCCGGGGGAGGTGGAAGGGTTAGAACCAGAGGAGGAAGAGTCCTTTGAAGACGACCTAAAAATCCCACTGAAGCTCATGCGTCGAGGGGAGCGAGGTGGTGATTCCTGGTACGGGAAGGGAAACACCGTTTTGGGTGAGCCTGGACTATGTTTAGACTTGACAGGAGCAGAAGATGGACTGGAAGGTCGGTTCTGGAACCCCTTTGAGAAGATTCCTTTGGAGGGGCTTCCTGAATTGCAGCTGTCTTCCGTCTGCAAAAAGGGGGGGGGAAGAGTTGAAATATTGGGAATTCATAAAATCATAGAATACAGAATCATAAGGCTGGAAGGACCTTGTAGGTCTTCTAGCCCAATCTCCTGCTCAAGGCAGGAGACTTATACTATGCCGGTCAAAAGGTTGCCCAGTCTATTTTTGAAAACATCCAGTAATGGAGCACCCGCAACTCTGAGAGGCAAATTGTTCTACTGATAATTGTTTTTGATGTCAGGAAATTTGTCCTGAACTCTAGGCCAGATCTCTCCTTAATAAGCTTCCATCCATTATTTCTTGTCCTGCCCTCTGGTGCTTTGGAGAATCCTCTCAAATATTGAAAGGCAGTTATCATGTCCCCACCACCACCCCAATTCTACTCTTTGTTATACAATTTAGGCTGTTGACTCTTTATCAGACTTGTTGTTCTTCCCTGCACACTTTCCAGGGTCTCAACTAACACAATTAAAAACCAAATATCACCTGGTTCTATCTCAGCTTCCAAGTCCAAGGTTTTATTAAAGATAAAGATAAAGGTTCCCCTTGCCCATATGTGCTAGTCATTCCTGACTCTAGGGGGCGGTGCTCATCTCCGTTTCAAAGCCGAAGAGCTAGCACTGTTCCAAGATGTCTCCGTGGTCATGTGGCCAGCATGACTAAACACCAAAGGAACGTTGTTACCTTCCCACTAAAGGTTGTTCCTATTTTTCTACTTTCATTTTTTTGCATGCTTTCAAACTGCTAGGTTGGCAGAAGCTGGGACAAGTAATGGGAGCTCACTCCTTATGTGGCACTAAGGATTCGAACTGCCAACTGCAGACTTTTCTGATCGACAAGCTCAGTGTCTTAGCCACTGAGCCACCACGTCCCTCTTTATTACGTACATACAAAAACTACTGTCTTTTAGATAGTGTATGTTGCACTTTTTAAACAGCATTATTTTTCTGTGCAAGGATCTAGTTCTCAACAACTACTGTTCCTGAGAATATAAGAAAAGTTAGAGATACTGGATCAAGAAAGTAACGTGAGATTTGGAAAACCTAAGGCTGCAATATGCATTTTTTTCCCTATAAAAGGAAATCTATAAATGGGAACTATTAAATCAGGGTCAGGAGCCAAAAATAAACAAAAATCAAAGAGATCTAATGTCTCTTTGCTATCACCACCTTCAGCTTCAACTATAGCTTCAACCTGTGTGTGTGTTTGTGTGTGTGTGTGTGTGTGTGTGTACATGTACACATACACACACACACCTAAGTAATACAGTATATTCCAGTACACATGCACATAAACACACACATATACACACAATATTTTTGTGGATTACTCTTTCCCAATATGGAACATCCATAAACTTTGCTGAAATCCACATATCTGGAGGACAGTACACTAGGTTTGTACTTCACTTGTCTTCCAAGACCCCAAGACAGTATGTGTATGTGCACTCACAGACACACAGACACACACACACACACACATTACCCAGAGGTGGGTGTCACATACTGTAACAACCAGTTCACCCAGAACCGAAAATGTGAGCACATGCGCAGCATTGAAAAACCAGCGATTATATAGGATAGTGCAAGGGCGCATGGGCAGAGCCAGCCGCTAGTTGGAACTACCGGTTCGCGCAAACCGAACCAAACCGGCACTAGCCCACCACTGACCCCACTCTAGCAATTTTCATCCTAGCAGCAAACCTATGAAATACTTTGGGCTTACACTATTGCCTTCAACCAATCCAATAACCTTCCTTGTCTAGAGATGAATTTAAATCTGAGTCTCCTTGGTCCTAGTCCAACATCTTAACTGCTATTCTGATCAGTCATTCCATCCTCCTTCTCTCCAGCTTCTTTTTAAGCAAGTGGGGTCTTTTCAAACTCTGTGGCCTGACTGTGAAAGATGATGAATCGTATTTCCAAAAGAGCTGTAGCTCTGCTGATGAAGGATATATAATCTAGTCAAAGATTGTTTGTAAATCAGGGGCAATAATCTCTCATCCATCTAGCAACATCAAAAAGAGTCCAACCTGATGTAAAGTGGTTTAGATATACCCTGTTTCCCTGAAAATAAGAACTTCCTGGATAATACGCCTAACCGGACTTTTGAGTGCATGGCATGCACTAAAATAAGCCCTCCCCCGAAAATAAGCCCTCCCTGAAAATAAGCCCTCCCTGAAAATATTGCAACACAGCAGCAGCCATGATGTGACCACGCTCGCTGCCTCCCGCACCACAGAAATAATAAGACCTCCCCCAAAATAAGGCCAAGTGCTTATTTTGGGGGTCAAATAAGAAGATCTTCTCCTATTTTGGGGAAAACATGGTAGTTAGATGCCTATCATGGTTCAGATGTGTAATGTTATTTTAATTTTGTTCTCCACCTAGAATTACTGTTGTGAAATGAGCATTTATATAAGCAGATATAAATAATTTAAATAAAAAAGACAAATTTTAAGACGTCAAAAATAAGTTTCAGCACCAGCACAAAGTAGAATTTAATCCCTGATTAAACACAAGAAATGCAGATGTTTGAGCGCTACACAAAAACGGTTTCCAAATAAAACTTGTGGAAGTAAACAAACAAAAATCCACCTTCTAAGATTTCCCAGGTAAGAGTGTATTTTGCTTCTTATACAGTGTTTAGGAGAGAAAAACCACATGCAACATCCACATTCCAAGTCCTCAGAAAGAAAATGGACAGCCAAAAAGTAAAATTCATTTGAGATCTCATTTGGGCTTCTTTTTTTCTCCTCACAGAAGGACAGATGGATTGGTGGGGTTTAAACGTTGGAAACCTGCCCATTTGACTGAGTTTCAAAGGCTTCGAAAAAAGCCTTGAGCACCATTACCTAAAGATTTGTCATCTAGGATGAATTCATTGAGGGCATCCAAGCATATTTCTCTACAGGACATGCAGCAAGAGCCATTTTTTTGAATGAGAAATTATTTATTGAAGCAAACAAAGCATCTACCATCCTGATCTTTTCATCAACCTCATGGATGCTGCCAGCTGGCCTCCTTTGTGTCAAATACAACAGACATACCTTCTAGGCTGCCCAGCCCCAAAACTGGTTCCAGATAGCTTCAGTGAAGAAACAGTCTCATAATATTAAACATTAATCCATATAATTACCCCTGGGAACATTTTTTTAAAAAAGTCCAGTCACTCCCAAATTTCAGAGTCCACTAGACACCCCAGCCAAAGGCCTGAAGGAAGAACCACGTTCATGCTTGAAGGTAGGAAGAGTTAGGGGCAAAGGGTGCTTGCTCCAGAGGGCAGGCATTGCAATAGAGGAGGCCCCCTTCCAAAGTCCCTCTAGATGACATCACTTAATTGGCGGAATCTAAAGCAAGTTGTCCAACCATATAGGATAGGGGTCGGCAACCTTAAACACTCAAAGAGCCACAAAGGTCCTAACTGGAAGCTCCCCATTCAATTCGGAAGTTCGGTTTCCCCACCATAGAATCTCCTAGCATGGAATTCTTCTTCCTAAGACATTAAATGCAGTGGTGGGATTCAGCCAGTTCGCACCTATTCGGGAGAACCAGTTGTTAACTTTCTAAGCAGTTCGGAAAAGCGATTGTTGGAAAAAATCTTATTTTTCCACTTTACAGGGCTCATCCTGTAAGGAAGGCAGGAAGGAAACATTCTGGTGCTGTTTCTAGCCTAACCTTTATTGCCCTGCTTACAGAAACTGCCTCTCCGCTTAACCCTTATCACATTGCAACAGGTAAGGCCAAGCGCCCATCGGCGTGAGTGACATTGAATTGGCCATGCCCACACAGTCACATGATCACCGAGCCATGCCTACCTAGATGGTCATTAGGGCAGAGAACTGGTTGTTAAATTATTTGAATCCCACCACTGATTAAACGGGGCAAAAGGTAGAAAAAATTAGCCCATTTCTTATTCACCTACACCCACACAAAAGAAGATTTCCTTTGCTCAGGATTCTTATCATGTATTTATTCATTTATTTATTAGATTTTTTCTTGCCTTTATTACTTTAGAAGTAACTCAAGTCAGCAAACATACACAACACTCCTTCCTCCTCCTGCCTTCATCACAACAACAACCCTGTAAGGTGAGCTGGACTGAGAGACTTATTATAATTTCGTTGCAGTTTGGTGTTTCCTGTGCTTCTCTATATCACTATGCTTTATAGGCAGTTCTCAACTTACGACCACAATTGGAACTATACCTTCCGCTGCTATGTGGTCATTAAACGAATCATCATTTCACTGAATCTGGATTTTATGACCTTTTTTTGCCATTGTCATTAAGCAAACTTGGCTTTTTCCTACTGACTTTACTTGTAGGGAGCCAGCTGGGAAGGTCTCAAATGGTGATCGTGGGATCCTGGGACGCTGCATCCATTATAAATACACGCTGATTGCCAAGTGCCCGAAATTATCACATGACTACAGGGAAGCTGCAACAGTGATACATCCAAGGACTAGTTGCAAGTAGCTTTTTTCAGTGTAGTCATAACGTTGAACAATCACTGAACAAATGGCCACAAGCTGAGGACTGCCCTAAACACAGTAGATTTAAGAATTACAACATCTATATTACTTTTGGGGCTCAACTCTTGTCCTCTCATTCTAGGAGATGGGGCATCTGTCTATCATGATGCCTTCTTTTCGGATGGAGAGTAGAATATCTATTTGTATTGCTCTTCTTTTAGCATGTGCTGAATCTTTGGGGTGAATCTGGGGGAACTGATAATGCTCTTCTTCACCTCTCTCGCATTCTTCTCTTTTGAGGAAAATACAAACCCACACTTCAATCTCACATCCTTGAATTTTTCTACTTCCCTTGGAAGCAAAAGCACTGGTCTCACTTTAAGAAGCCATCTAGCCAAAAAAATAAATAAATGTTGTATCTTTCCCAGGACTACCATCCTGTAAGACCCAAACCTACTCCACTGGTGTTATAAGATGTTTCCTAGTATTCTAGAAAAGAAGAAGCAACAGCACAGCATTTATATACCGCTTTGCAGCCCTCTCTAAGTGGTTAACAGAGTCAGCCTCTTGCCCCCAACAATCTAGATCCTCATTTTACCAACCTCGGAAGGATGGAAGGCTGAGTCAATCTTGAGCCAGTCAGGATCGAACTGCCAAATTGCAGGCAGCCGGCATAATTATCTGCAGTATTGCATTCTAACCACTGCGCCACCACGGAATAGAAGACGACCTTGCTCTTTTTCAAATGTTGGGACAATAAGTCAATCCCTTGCTTGTGGCTATTCTGAGCAGCAGAGAAGGGGATTGTGGTCCAAGGCACCTGGAGATAAGGTTTGATGGGCTCTTCCTATACTAAGATGTCCTTCTACAGCCTGATGTTTGATATATGGGGTAGCCTACAACTGCCATGTTCCTCAGCACATACGGATATTTGAATATTCATCTCCTCTTACAAATTCTTGGTTTGGTCCCAGAAATTTCTGCACAAGTTTTTAAAAGTAAGTTAACCAGGAATAAAGTGACAAAAACATCATGAAGGCCCCCAGCTATTAATTTTCACCGGCAACTACAGGCAAAACCTCATCTGTGCTTGCAGGCTCATCTCATCAGTGACTTCATAATTTTTCTTTTAGCTTTTGATTAGAAAAAAATTAAAGCATTAAACTCCAATCCAAGGGATAAGGCTTTATATCATAGATAAGAGCACAGAATAGCATCAAGAAGAGAGTGGGTGGAATGCAAACCTTTTAAGGCCCTGGAATGTATTTTGCTTCACACAGTAATCTTTTTTTCTTTTTTCTTTGCTCTCAATTAGACTGTAAAAACCCTAAAATGTCGCACTATGGTAGATGTGAGTCAGCTCCACAGTACTTCAGCCAATTTCAGCTGCTAAATCAATCTACTTGTGAAATCAATGGATCCTGGAAAACATTAACGCCAGACAGAAAAATTGCTCCTGGAATTTTTCTTGAAGCTGTCTCAAGGGGTGTGCGGGTGTGCATATGTATGTATGTATATATATGTATATATGTGTATATATATGTATATA